ACCTTTTCTCCGATGACTTGAAGTAGATTGCATTTTTTGGATGAAAAGAACACAGAAAACCTGTACTTAACAGTGAAGCCATAAGCTTCAGCATCAGAAATACGAGAAGAAATACTCTTCCTTATTATAACTTTAATAAAACACACTAAACACTGGGGAATTTCAGCTAAAAATAATAATAATTGCAATAATAAATACAAATTTTAAAAAACTCTTTTTTTTTTTTTTTCAGGTAATGCTCCATGCTGTCTGCTTATTCATGTAATAATTAAGATACTTCCTTCGCTCAATTTGTTTCCAGGTTCCTATTTGCAGTCATGAAGGCCAGAGATGTAATGCGTCCTAGACTGCAGGACAGGTAACAAACCAGGGGCAGTTTGAATGGTTCATGGTTAATTTAGTCCTCTCAACACTGTATTTAATGGCAGGACAGAGGGAAACAGCACAAAAACCTCTGAACCAGAAGGATTCCTGGCCTCCTCCTGCGGCTGATGGGGTTGGAGCTGGTCATGGAGTCTGACTGCAGTGTCCTAAGGAAGGGCTGCAATATAAACCCCTGCTTGGGACTGCTGCTTTCTTTTGCCAGCRGCTCACAACACACACTGAACACTTATTTCCTGTTAATGCTAAAAGAACACAATTGATTTCATCAGTTTCCACTGCCTTTTTGTCTCTGTTGTAATAACTTCTTAGTTGCTGAAAAGGGTTTCCCCCTTATCAGTTTTCCCCCTGATATTTTCTTCTGTATTGTGAAAAATGATAAAATTAACACGGAGTTAGGACTGGGTAACAATATAATACGATACAGCATCTCCTCAAGGCAAAACCGTCTGCTTTTGTACACTGGTATATTTGATATAATCACAGCTCTGTAGACCAAGCAGTTGAGTTACTTCCAATCCACACCTCACAGTGGGAACATACAAATTGTAGTTCTTTGTTGTGTGTCAAAAGTCTTGATTTTCCGTTTTGTTTTCTAATTAATTGACTGGGAATAGCAGGCTTCAGAAAACTATAAAGTCATTTAGAATACACAAAGGACTACTTTCCACTGATTAAAAATCAGACTTAGAAACCTTAAGTGCTCCTTTAAGCTTATAAAATTATTACTACTAAGTGGGACGCTGATATAGTGCAGATTGCGAATAAAAAGTTGACTAGTAAGGTGGCAGGAATGCATTGAATGCACTACTGCAATAAAGCACACAGTAGCTCTATTTAATACACTGAGTTCAATTTTCTGCAAAACTCATCTGACAGATATTTATCAATAAAACTGATATAACTTCGGCTTTGAAACACAATGGATTCCAAAAGACAAGTACTGAAAGACCAATTTTCTAAATAAGAATTTGTCCTCAAAGGACAAAGCACATCTCTGAACACTGAATTAGAAGGGGACAAGATACAGCATTGTTATTTTTATTAAATGGAATGAACATCATGTTCTGCCAACTTTTTTTTATCTAATGCATGGAAAAGATTAATAAAATATGCTATAGCTTCCCATTTATTTATAATAATAAAAATATATGAAACAAATGTTTTAAATATCCTATTTAACAAAAGTATTGTAAAAGGGAAGTTAATCTAAATCAAAACTAGTGGCTGTAAGGATGTCAGAATTTCACATACTGCTTTAGGAGCTCTAAAGATTTATAATAACATTAAAAAAAAAGATTATAAAGTAAACTTTGCCTCTCATTCTAAAATGCATAAAATAACACAGCAAAAAGGCTAGGATCATTTTAAAATATAAATACTTTATTTAGCCATGCAATCACATTTTTCACTCACAACCTACCTTAAATAAGCACCCTACAGAAGGCTTCTGTAGAAGCACTATCAYAAGAAATGCTGGTATATCTTCTCCCAGTATTCCTAAAAAATATTCACTATTTAATACAATCTTGCTCATTAAAAATAGAAAGTCCTTACTTTAAAAAGTTTTTAAGAGCCAAATATTGCCAATTAATTGCCAGGATAATTTTAAATAGGAAAAAAATGAATTCAGTAAGTKATTTAGTAAGTGAAGTTTTTCTTTAATACTTTACTTTTTTATTAATTAGAAAAACTACTTTTAGTTTGTTTCCAACACTTGCTTCCCTGATTTCAAATCTCATCAAAAGGTCAATTTCTTTCTCTTTCCCAGAATGACTGGTACGCTCCCATCAGTCTTTCCTCTCACTCTTAAGATATCCCTCAGTCTTATCACAGAAGGATTCTCTCGTCCTCTCAACAGAGGTGCTTTCCAGCAGGGTAAGTTGAACAATTGTTTTTTCAGTCCAATTACATTTTCTTTTATTAAAAAAACAAACAACAACAAAAAAAAAAAAAAAAAAAAAARAAAAAACTGGCAACAGGCAAAATGCCTTTTATGGGCATTTCCCTCTGAGAAACGCTATACTCACACCTTCTCATTTAAGAATTTCACACCCCCTAGTGCACAACGTCTTTTTTAATACTAGTGCAAATTTCAATTCCTTGCCACCCTACTGCAGCGAGGCATCACAATTTGGCTTTCAAAGAAACTGTTTATTTTTAAGAATAAAACAAAAAATAAAAGCAAATGAGAAAGTATTAACTGGCTATTGACAGCATTCACTAACATTTGAAGTCCACATTCTATGTGTTTGTGCTGTCATCTGAATCCACACTGGAGCAATATTAGTGCTCCTAGAACAGAGTAAACTTCAAGTAAGATTTGTGCTACTGGTTATGATTAAACATTGCAACTATGTAGTAGCTTATCAGTCATTTTTCCTTCTTTCTTATCTTGCAAGTGATAACAACCCAAACTAATTTGATTTTTCCATATTTGCAAATTTTCTAATAGACTGAAATCCCAAGGGATTCCACAGCAGAAAAAAAATGACTGTGCTATTCTAATTACAGCTACATACAGATTTAGAAAGCTGTCATATTTTAAGATAATACATTTCTCATTTCAAGGAACTTGATAAACACTGAATATCTATGCATTGTACTGAAACTACTTGCATGAAAATTGTGACTTCTCTTCATTAAAATTAAACAGCTGTTAGAAAACGTTGTTCAGTTCCTCAGATTCCAAATTTATTCAACAGCGTGAATGGTGTACATGTGAACTTGTCAAGTGTGTGTCTGGCTTACTTGGATCTGGAGCTAGGAGATACCTCTACTGTAAAAGCAGTTTTAGGATGGCATTCAGTAATTAACTGTGGTGCTGGAGAAATACCCACCTTTAGAAACTCTGGAAGAAACATCTGGGGATATATGTAAATCTAGCCAATCATTATTTAGTCCTTGAGAGAATGAGAACCCCTCYACATCCCCGTCTACCCGTCCCTCTCCACCAAAAAAAGAATAGAAAAAAAAAGTATTTTGAATGCATTTTGCTTGTCCACTCTGGACATACACAGGAAATGTGAATATGCAGGTTGGGTCTTAAAGCATATTTCCCACTTTTATAGTAATGCCACACTGCACATTTCATGATGTCTAAAAGAACCTGCAATGGCTGTAATTCATCTATACATGTGACTCTTACATTCAAGTCTTTTATATCTTCCAGAGTGGACTACAGCCACAGATTCAATTATATAGCCAGATTTTTGTTTCACAACGTTAAAAAGTGACTTAATATTAATAACTTCATTGGTTAGTCTTCACATACAATATTTATTTCAATACCTGACTGAAAAACATGCCGAGAAAATTTCAATACCATTTTCCTATAAAACTCAAAATAAAATCAAGTTAAAGCATATTCTTCTTGATTGAACAACACAGTTTCCTGGACGGGAGAACTCTTCTCCAAAAAAATCTCTGACAAAGGTTTTGCCGACAGGGAAAGAAAACATGAAAGGAGCAACTGTCCCTCACCTACATTTCACATCAGTACTTCGACCATCAGACTACTGGTTATCTTAATTAGAGCCCCTTATTCTCTCATCTCCAAACTTGTCTTTATTAAAACACATGGAAACTCAAAAGTGTTTGCAAATGAAAACACCACAAAGATCAAACAYACCTATTCTTTGGGATTTTCAGTTTCCAAAATACATACTTAATGAATGTGATTATCACAGGATTTCCAAACCTGGTGTTTCTTCAAATCTAACAATATAGTTTASATGAAATTTGCCCTCTCATTCTGTCTCTATATAGAGACATATTACTATTTACATTGCTGGAAAGTGACTATGACTGACTATGAACATTGATCTATGACCTAAAGAGATGCTAGAAGGGAATAAGAGAGGTACTCTAGGTGTCAACATTATGAGGGCTCTTAAAGAAAACATCCGAGTCATAACTTGAACTAAAAAAAAAAAAGTCAGAAATACATAAATAGCAAATTTTATGAGGACATAAGAAGATTTTTGTTGCTTGTGCTTTTGGAGAACTCAAAATTGAAATGACAAATTGATACAGGTCACAAAATAACTATTTGTGTGGTTCAGAAAATGCTGGAATTCAATTTTACAAGAATTGATCTTTGGAAGAAAAAAGTTTAGTAGTATCAGAAGAAATGGTACTTCAGCAACTCTATAAGCAAAGAGAGAGAATGTCAAGTAAAATTAGGGGTATTGCATTAGCAAGTTAACAGCAGGTAAATGGCTAAAGGCAAGGCCACTACACAAAAGAAAATCATCCTGTAAATTACTAAAGAGATTTTATGCTTTGAAACTTCAAAGGCAAGTCTGTGGTCCCCAGGGATGCCGTATTTGCATTCTATGTATGTGCCAATAAAATAATAGTATAAATGCCAAGTTCTGCCCAAAGCTGGTTAGATTCTTCAGCAGCTGAATAAGTACTCCAAATGACTAACTAAAATAACCTACTCAGCAATAGACCTAGGCAGAGTAAGCAACAAATCTGTGGTTTTGAGTAGCTATTAAAAGCTCATCTAAATGTTCTTATTTTGAGATATTTCAAATATTAAAAATTATTACTTCACATTGAGAATAAATTCATAATTCATTCTTCATTCTTGATTGCAAGCAGGATCTACGTCAACAACATTMATTACTCTGTTCCTTCAACTACTGCACTATTTTTAAAATATATACTCAAAGTGTTTAAAATGTACCTAATGTATATAACTGGCATAGTTTTGAGGTGATCATACATTATGAGGCTTTCAACAGATAAGACTGCATGCTGATATGAGCTGTGCTGTCAGCTATGCCAATCATTCTATAGTGGGTGTCAGCAAATACTTTATATCATACCACATATACATTTCATCTCCGTCTCCTCATTGCCCATACAGAAATATGAAAACACATCACTAATAACTAGCTGTGTACTTTCCTCAAGTACATCATCTTTTTATATTTCATCCAAAACAATGTATTCCTTATCAGTTAATCAATGAATTTCTGAGCTGTTAGAAAACATTTTCAACAACTCCAAAAGCACTGCAGGTGCATTTAAAAGTAACTGAAATACAAAGAGGCTGCAAGGTAATGAATTATTAGGAAACTGACCTTTATAGTCTCCTTTGCTGAAATAACAATCCAATGGGCTTTCTGAAAGACGTGACACAAACTTTTCAATTAATTCTGCCAAAACTACAAAAAACAAAAAGCCATTAAAATACTGGAGGCAATGAACAAAATGTAAAACTACATTACAAGATGACAGCATGCAAATAAATAAAGCTATCTGAATAGCTGCATGTTTATTCATGTTTTTATGGGGGAACAATTCAAAGCATGCTTTCTGCTTCTGCATTCCTAACATCATTCCTAACCTAAATTAAATTTTAATAGCTTTACTGAAAATATGTTCAGTGTAAGCTGAAAGGGAAAGGGAATCACATATTATCTTTATATCCTCCAAAGATTACTTCATAATTTGTTACATGGTGTAAATATAAAATGAAATTTGGCTATAATTAAGCTACAGTATCTTATCCTATTTGTCTTTGTGTATGTGTAGACAGGAAAGAAAAAACCTCTATACCAATAAAAGTTAATGAAGTTTTAAGAGCTGTTTCCAATAAGCAATATAAGATTGCCTATGCAATCACAAGATAAAAATTGCACACTCAAAATTAAGTGATAGGAGAATTTCCTTTGAGAAAATCTATTTTCCGTGATGACCATAAAATTCTTGATTCTTGCTAAACAGAAACTCTAAATCTGCAGCGGCTGCGTAGGTAAGCCACATAACGAAATCTTGTTTCTAGATAAGAAATCTTATCTGTAAGAAATCATATCTCACATCCTAACAGAATAATAACCAACAAATCAKACAGGAAATTATCAATGAGAGTAACAAATCTCACTGAAAAATCATTAGCAAAGACCGTTTCTAATCCTTGACTCTGCAAGCTTGATACTCCTGCAGCTACTTGAGGGTTTAAGCAAAAGGATACAAGGAAGCATTTACATATATTGCACAGAGGAAGTCCATACTAAGATCACCCGTATTAAGAATTCAATAAAGCCAACAATTAACTTGTTTTAAAAGTAAATGTTATCTCAAGACAGCTGCATGACAAATTGAATTAAAAAAACAGTGCTGCAACTCTTTTCACAACAGTCTGAAGCAAGAAAGTCGATTTAGAGAGTAATGAGAACAGTTGTCTTTGGGGTTTCCTGGGCTTGCTATCATTTCCTTGGCAGCAGGTCAGTACAAAAGAACTCAAGCCATATTGTGCTCACCCGTTCCTGTACGTGATCTCCATGCACACACAGGTAGTTTTGGTGTTTTAAAGCTAGATGATTTCACTAAATCATTTCAGGTGGAAGCTGTGCAAATGGTTACAGAAGCACAGGCAAGGCACTGCAATCTGTRGTGGAGGTGGCAACGGAAAAAACTCTGGAACTAGCCTTCCCAGCAGGAAAACTAACATAGGAGACTGCAGTGCAAGTTATTTTGTGTGTGAGGGGGAGGAAAACTGAACATTAGCTCTGCCCACAGMCTGATGCCTCTTATGCTAGAAAAATAATGAAGAATATTCTCAAAGACAAAAACTTAGTCTTTCTCCCATCACTTTAAGCTCATATTTTGACATTTAATGGTAACTCTTCCTTATTTGTGACCTAAAATATTTAAAATAATATAATGATTCTGCAACTGTAGAAACAAATGCAAACAGTAATTTCATGGTCATTAATCAGTCCAACAAGTTTTTAATAGTTTGAACTTTAGTGTTCATGTATTGATGGGGGGGAGGAGGAAGAAAGATGCTTCACTACAGCAACTAAATACAGTGCACAGTTAAAGCTGCCAAATCCAACAGTAAAGAATTAATTTTGTACAGCAAAAAACTACTTATAAACACAAGCAGCCATCCCTTGGTAAATCAAAATAAAGAAATTATGCATATAAATTTTGTTCTTTCATTTCCTTTACAGGCAGAGGAAACTGCTAATTAAACCTTATACAGCTTCTTCTAAACATGACTCTAATACAGCAAATGGATTAGCAAATGCAATTTACATTACAGAACAACGGTTTATTCATTTTGTGAATACCAGAATAATTGATCTGTACACAGCCTTTATTTTTTTAAAATCAAAGGAGCTAATAAAAGAAAAGTGCTTACACTTGGAAAGTGTAAACTGCACTTAAGTTGCATAGACCTTGAAAAACTGTATCTTTTTTTGGGGAGGTACGGGAAACTTACTGATGTTGTAATGTTGTCTTTGAAATCATACAGCCTCAAGAGCTTCCTCTACCTCTTTCTCTTCTAAAGATGCCAAAGACATTTGCCAGAGCTGATTAACATTTTAATTTATTTATATGGAATAGCATAGATAAATGTCTTTTTTCTCCTCTCCTTGATTACTTTTACATTCTGTAAACAACTTAATCCATAGCAGAATTTGGTCCACAAACAACGTAATAAATATATACGCAAGTAAAACACACAAAAATCCCCAATGCACTAGAGCAACAAACAGCTGAACGAAGTTAAGCATAAACTCTCGAAAGCCATATATAGGTTTAGTGCATGAGTGTTCATATTAAGATTACTGAAATATTCCATGCTGCAATAACAAACAGGAGCAACATTAAAAGAATAATATATGGCATAATTCACMAAACTTAAAATCTGCACATTTGTTTCCTCTCTGTTAGAAGGCATCCACATGCTTGACCTAACCAGTCAAATATTTCAGTTCAGTGCTYGAGTTAATGGGAGAAGTGACAGCTCAACTGCTAAGCATTTTTTTTTTCCTGAAACTCAAGCACAAAATAGATTTTCCCCATTCAAACGTCTTTATCTAAGTGCCTATCAGGATCTTTCAAAGCTTTTAATGAAGTCAGAGAGGGAAAGACATGTAAGTGGAGTGTATCAAAACAAACTTAGCACACAATTGCAGGGTTTTCACAAAACACGGTGCCTTTCAAGAGAACATTGTTGTGAGATGACAGGTGATCTAGACTATTTTTTTTTGCGTCTTAATACTAAGCAAATGAGCTGTTATTTACAAGCTTCCAAATATGTTCAYGAAGATGGAACTATGAAGCAAAGCCAGGATGGTTTAACAGCACTCAAGTGAAGTCATTCACGAAGAGTTGATGCACAAAAGACAGGTAATTAAAATTGCTTTTAAACAGTATCACAGTAACAAATTTAAAAAAGATGCAAATCAAACTGCTAATACGTAGCCACCACAAGAGGTTACCCAGTATCTACACTCTAACACTGTGAAGGGTTTAAGCCAGAAAAAAMCAAAAACTACAAGGTGCCCCTAGAGAGCTGTTTTATATTTACTACCACAAGCATCAGAATTTTTTAGATTCTTTAATGGATTTAGTTTCTAGATCATATTATGTACCAACTCTCAGATGTTTCAAATGTGTTTAAACCAACCAAACAGGGAAAAAATACTCTCTCAAGAGTTACAGTCTTTTATGACTTATATTAAGAGAGCAAAATTCAAGATTTTCAAGATTCAAATTCAAGAGCAAAAATCTTGGACAGTTGGCTTCTTTTTGTAGTAGCAGTCAGAGATTTAACTCCATCAACTTCAAATTGCTCAATAAAAACTTTCAGCAATTCCATTATTAATAGTAACAATGGAGAGGCCTTTTTGAATTCTGAGSAGCAGTTGGAGGGAGTTTTGATTCTTACACAGTGAAATAGTAAAATAACTAATGGTTGTATTTTGTCTGAGAAGAAAACACCATAACATAATATAACATCTTTAATAATGGAAAACAAGCCTTTTAAATTCAATGCTAATCAAATAGTGTAATCTTCTCTCACATGCATGTACATTCACAGGCACTTACACTAYGTAAAAGATAGTCAAAAAGGTAATCCTCTTTTGCAAATGTTACATTCAGAATTTGGTCACACTTAAAAAAAAAGGGTGGGGCAAGTAAGAGATCAAAAGAATTCAGATCTAATTGAATTATCTTAGAAGACTTCGGTAATATTTAAAAAGAAAAGCTTAGAAAGCCTACGTGGTTCTTATACAAAATAATAGGTTCATTTGAGAACCAATTTAGAATGGAAATCTAATTCAGTTGCTCTGATTTGCCTTCTTGAAATCACAGCCTAGAAAAGTTTCTTTCACACACGAGAGCCTGAGGGAGACCACACTGCAGGCTGAAGTTAGTCAAGTCTTTCATCTCACGAAGGCTGAAGCTTAAACCACACGCTCCTGCAAAGGGAGCACACGTAGCAGCACAGCTGTCGCTCACAGAAGTTTCTGTRAATGCAATATCGTCTCAAACCACACAGCTAGCAGAAATATTGCGTTTCCAAAATAGCTGCATGCAGATCTGCCTCACTTAAACAGCAACTTTCATAGCAGCACAACTTTTATTTATGTTATTGCTAGCCTTTAATAGTATTTTTGAATTTAGTATTTCATTAAGCCAGACTGTTTCAATTTTCACACTTGTGTGGCTTGTGAATGCACTTACAGAAGCTGCTGTAAAGGGCTAAAAAATTCCATGGATAGCTTTCTGGCTTACTTTTACTTCCAACTGCTTCATCTCAGCTGGAAACAGCTAATCAGAAGAAATCCTAATCTCTTCCTTTTGGGTAAACAAATTGTAATGATTCCCTTTAAATTCTTAATTCTAACTGCTGGTACCTCCAGCAAAGTTGCAGGAAACAACCTACACAGGTTTGAGGCTGTGTGTAGAACACTGAAAAGCATAAAAGAATAGAATTCTACTTTATTTTTCTTCGTAAGCTAGCTACATTAAGCATATGTTCTCTTTTTATATACAATTTAGTTTATATACAATATATAATTCCTTTTGTATGTAAGAAGACAGACTAGCAATTTCTAACATTAATTTCATGTAATACAAGAAGAAATCTGTCTAGAAAATGCTGTATTCAAATAAATTGATATTGCAAAGACTGAATTGTGCTTCACAATCTGTGGCATTAAAAAACACTCACTGGAATAATAGTTCTGTGAGAAATAAGCAAGAAAAGGAAACATATCTCTATTGCTTGCAAAATCTAGATTTTAAGGGCTCTATTCTATTTATTCTTGCAATAGCAGAAGCTCATATGAAGTATATTTGGTATTTCATAAAGTATATTCAGTATTTCAGTTTACAAATCTCCATTTGTTCACCTGTCTTACAGAACTCCTTTCCCTTCTCCACAAATATATACATTTGTGGATGTGTACAATATACATAATAAACACATAGGTAGATTATAAACAAACACATGCATATTCTGCCTACATACACACATTCCTCTGAACAGAAGGTAAAAGGTCTGACTAAATTAACACCACCTGATATAAACAYAAACTCATTTGAAACAAGCTACAAGAACAGAAAGCTTGAAGAATTTTGAAAGTTTCAATAATTATGACTTTCAATCACATTTACATAAGTGAAAGTTTCTTATTTGTTACTTTTATACTGAATTAGTTCCTCTGTAAATCACGTACACCCTGGTGTGTCTCTATATATTACGGTAAAATTCAGGTTTCTTACACAAACCACACATGTTGTGCTACTTTGATTCCATATAGAATATATTTCTTCTGCCTTACTGTCAGTTGTATTGATCAGTTTCTAAAAAATTTAAACGGAAGTCTTTGGAATATGTAAGCAACAAACTATGTACATAACTAAACTATGTTCAAACTATGTACTAAGCATCTTCTTTAATCAAAAGATAAACTTTTATAATCAAACATAATCAATAATCTTAAAGAACTGCAGGTCAGTATTTCCTGAAAGCACATCGTTTCTTTATTGTTAGGTAATTCTCTGTTACAAGTTTGGTTTCCAKTGCCTTATGTCACTTAGGTAACTGTTGATTTTATTTTGGATGGTTTAACTGCCTGACACCTGCAGCTGCAGCACAAGCTCRCTAYCCATTAGGAAATACACACAGAAGGYAATAAGAAAAAACAAAAAGGTGAATGAGTGGATGCACTGATGTTTAGTAAGGCTTAATTCTGAAAACAGAATTGACTATWCATATCATTTATTTTCTCCTTTAGAGTAATTTGCTGATATCTGGAAAGAATTTTTCTTTCTCTCAGACTTTCCTYTCAACTTTCTGAATACCACAATCATGCACCTTTAAAAAATTTGAAGGAAAGCTTCAGAGCTCTCCTCCTCTATCAGACTTTGCACAAAATCACCAGTGGGTTTAAAGGTTATTCACAGGGCTGTGATCGACACAGACATGGATTTAAACAAAACAGGAAGCATTAATCTTGTTTTCATAGGAAAAAAAGTACGAAATAATACAATTCTCATAATACGGAACGGACTAATTAAAAAGGTTTAAGTCAATTTAATTTCATTCTCAATGTAATTTCATTTTCAACGTAATTTTTTTAAAGATTGTTTTAATGGCATTTTGTTTGCCTTTGTTTAGATGGATAGGCAATACTCACTTGTTCCACTGATGATATCAGGTTTGGCTTTCATGACTTTGCAGAACAGTTTTCTACAGTTTTCTGCCCAACCAGTTGGTTTATCTGGATTTTTTAAAAGCGATAAGAGTTTGTCCAGATCATTATCTAGAAAAAAGGAAGAGTATAATTCTTTTAAAACTTTTTTCTTAACTATGCTAAGTAATGAAAAGTTGTAAACTACACACTACCAGATGCATGTAGCAGATGCATTAAGAAACAAAAAAAAAAAAAAAAAAAAAAAACATTTCAGAGAAAAACAGAAAAGTCAGATGCAGCTGAAAGCCTTGTCATTGCGTGGTATTTTGGTAGCCCTTACATGTCAGGAAGACCAGACCAATAAACTACTCCTCATCCTATGAAACTTACACTGGAGAAGCAGGTAGTCCTAAAGCTGGCCACATTCCACTCTACACAGACAGGGAACTTACTTGTAGGGTTTTTGAACATTTAAGATGTTTCTGAGACACATCTTTATTAACTTGATACTTTATAATCTCCCTATCTCCAAACCATAAGAGGTGGGGGAAAAAAAAGTAGGTCAATATTTCCATATAATTTCATGACTTGGAGAATAAGAAAAAAAAAATGGGGGAGGAATGGGAAAAAGCTCTAACAAATATCAAATTCACGAGAACAYTGAAGCAGCAGCACTATTTTGTTGAACATGAAATGAAACATGATTGATGTGAAAGTAACAGCGCTGCATGGAAAACTCCTGCCTCTTTATATAAGCAGGTTTCCTTCAAAGGCTTCTAGTCTGGTCGGATGCTAAGCCTCAGGGTGCTCCACATATCAAGTACATTTGGGAAAAATACACTGGGTTGCCCACAGTACGAGGCATTTTATACTGGCTTTAGGGATGATCTTTGGAATTTCTCAGCTTTAAATTAGGGACTTCAAATGGCGACACTTGTTAAACTAAAAGTTTAACTTTTGCACTGTATGAGTCAACTCACAAGTTCTCTTTASTCACAATATTTATAAAAACTTATTAGAATTTCACATTGCATTCTTGATTCCAGGGGCACCCAACATACTCCAGCTGAGGGCCACGGGCCCTTCTTTGGTGTTGTCAGAAGCTGAAACAGTTTAATTAAGGCATTTTTTGTTTATGAACCCTTAGACTTTGCACCCAAGCACTAAAACAGGGTCTTTTGGAATAATGCTGTCACATATAAGGCACAAATACATCTGATAACATCTGATGAATGCATGAATGCATTATGAGTTCAGCTTGGGCATAAAACAAATCTGTGCAACTGTTTAACAAAAAGCCTTTGTGAAAGAATCTTTCTTAACACAAAGAAAAAGTTGCAAAGATAGTTCCTTGCTGTTACTTTAACCTTGTTATTAAAACCATATTCTCTTTTCCTACACAATAGGGAGGCATGTCTTCAAAATTAAAACCAGTACTGATGCAATAACAAAAGGAGAATAAGTATGTTCTCTCTCTTAGCAATAAAACGCTTTTTCACCCTCTATTTTCTACAGAACTAGAGGAAATTACACATATTTTGCCACTTTTATATAATACAGTATCACAGGCTGAGGCAATAAATTTCATGACTAGCCAAGTCTAAAAAGATGTTGAAAAAAGTAGAACTACAGTGACAAACACAATGCTAGCATGCAGTCATCACCACTGAAAATGTTGGGTTGGCTTTCAATGCTTATACTTAGAGCAAGAAGGATTCTCTCTTTAAATCAAATACCTTCAGGAAGCAAAATCTCCTTCAAGTCAGCCTGACAAATGATGACCCAGCRTACTGGGTAACGCAAAGTAGCAAGTAAAAGAAATAAAAGAATTTTGCTTATCTATGCTTTCTCAAAACCAGCATTTCTTACCATATGCGCAATCTGACAGAAAATACTGATATAAAGGAATGACTGTTCTGTTTATTTTTAACATAAGGCTGAAGAAATTTCAAATTCTAATGCTAAGTTTCATAAAATAATTTTATGTTAAACAAAATTGATCAAAACCACTCTTCCAGTAGAAAGCATCAATCATACAAAATAGAAAGAATCAATAGGAATTCCTCTCCCTCGGCAACTTTGTTCCTTGAATACTTAAGGCTGACAGATTGATGCATCACTGACAGCTGCCCAGGTGGGAAAGCTACAGGACAGCCCTGAAAGATAACAAAAACTTTGTTTCCTTTTTTTTCCCCTCCCTCTTCTTTTCAAAATACAGAACATTTCTTCTGCCTGACAACTTTTATTTTTTCACATGATATGCATGAGTCAGGAAGAAAGTAAGGAAGGGGATGTGTATACAAAAGGAAAATGTTATGCATCATTATAGGAAACTTATGGAATTTAGTGTTCAGGCACTGTGAACAACAACTGGCACAAGCGCAGAGCTGAAAGAAAGTTAAAAAATGAGCAAACAGAAGAGTAAATATTGCAGTTATTTAACCTTAAATAGCCTACAGTAGATATTATAAGTAAAAAGCCCACATTATTTTAATAGCTGTACTCTAAATAACAAAGGGCTGCTTTGAAAAGCACTTAACAGCTCCTTCTCAAATTATGTTACTAAAATAATAATTGAACAATTAAGACAAAAGAAAAGCAACAGGGTATCTTGCTGCAGTGCAAACAGGTGGAAATAACATAATTAATTTCCACAGGTAAATAATGATCTCCATAAATCATTTGAAGCTTCACTATGAATTATACTCAACAGAAATGAAGCATTAATGCACTGCTATCCAATAGTTTCCCAATTCAGAAAACTGCTTGAAATAATTAATGCAAATTAAGTTGCAACTCAGTAAATTTATTTTTCCATATATCCCTTCCTCAGGCAATATATACCATACAGACGAATGCCTAATACCTGCAAAAAGAGGGAAGATATTTGTTAAGTGTGAAGCACTGCCGATATTCCTTAGATACAAATGCACCCTTTGGGTGACTCTGCCTATTCCAAGCACCACCACACTTCAAGCAATATAGGTATTAGCTTTGCCTACGTAAATGATAACTTTATTTTCAGTTTGATAAGGCAAAACATCCAGTTGCCAACATGTTTGAGAGCACCACATCAAGACACAGCATGTAACATGCAAGCGCTCTGTAAGACACAGACTTTGGACGCTGCTACTAGGAAATATATGCTCCAGTCACTGCAGAATTAGCCCTGCTTTGGTTTCTCCTACAGCTAATTAATCATGCCCCTACCCAGCTGTTCAAACCAGAAAGGTTCTACTGATGCATTTTACTACAGACCTTCAAAAGAATTAAGGGATAGAAGAAAAAAATATTTACTTAATTTTCTCAGCAGAAAATTCAATGTGCAAAAACCTTTTTCACCAAACATCTAGCATGCTACTTTATCTATGGCTTCTGTTACCCCAGCTACTTCCTTGAGCTACATAAGGTCTGGTTTCATTGAAAGGAAGCTCCCTGACCTCAATAATCCACCACCTCTTCAGAGAACAACAGTCAGTCTGGATTCAAAATATTCACCCAGTAATTTCAGCTTGCCCCCAGAAAGACAACCTTCATTTAACAGAGACACCTAGGAAATAAAGGTTCTTTTATTGCATCCGTCCTTCAACAGCATCTGAAGGAAGGGTCAGAAGAAAATATCTTCAGAGGCAGTAATGCCATTTCTGTGTGCACCTTTGTAAACAGCATTTCCTCCTTCCTCAGCACTCTGCAATATCCATTCCGCAGCATCACTTACCAAGTAACACATCAAGAAACAAACAAAAAACCCCAAACCACCACTGATAAAAAAATCTCAGGATATATTTTCACAGCTAGCAGCACAATAATAGAAYGAGGAACCAATTTTGAAAGGAAAAAGAAAAGGTGAGCTTCTCTTCAGGTGTCTGCCTCCTGGGAAAAAACAATGGAGGTAAATGAGAGGTCAAGGCAGAGAGAATGAAGTCTGTACTTACAACCTTTTCTATTTCACTCAAATTAGTGCTACATTCTCACACAGCGCTAAGAATCCAGTGGTTTTAATTATCCATGTAATATAAACTACTGTCAAGAGGACAGGAATGTTACCACACAGTTTACATAAACTCCACAGTACTCAATTCAAATACAGACCTCTTTAGGATACTGCAGAAATACTGTGCTGGCCACAGCTCATTAGTGATACATATAGCAATATTACAAATATAACAAATCTACTTCCACCCTTACAGAGGGCATGAGTGTTTKCATGGTTGCTAATTCGTGAGCTCTGTAGGAGCCCTGTTCACCTTTCACTGAAGCAGAATTAAAATCAAGTAACTGCTTGTCTAGCTCTGAGGTTTTAATAGCCAAGTGTTGCCTAACAACACAGATTGTGAACATTCACCATTTCAGAAGAGATACTCATGAAATCTCCAACAAATATTTCATGATCTTTCCCAGATGCAGTTTGAATGAATTTCTTATTAATTTGTGACAAATCTTTTTTGCCAGCTCAACCGACTACTCCTTTTTCTGCAAAGGGGCACGGAAACCAAATCCATCTGCCCTCTTTACAACCCCCTCTTATATAATCAGACACTTGCATCACTTCAGCATCAGACAGTCCCAATTATTTCAATCTGTGCTCACATATCATGCTTCAAAGTTCGCATATGTGAACTTTGTAATTCACTTCACTAAAGATTCTTGTCACTGTGCTGCAGAATCTCTCCAAGAATCAATGTGTATTTTCCTCAGAACATGGTGCCCAGGGTAGCCTAGAGGTGCTCCATCCAAGGACTCACCGGCCTCAGCTGATGGGAAGAATAACCTCCTCTCTGTCCCAGACGGAATACCCTCAAAGCTTCTTTTTTAGCAAATTCAGTGTTATTTGACAAGATTTCACCAAGTTCTGCTTCCAGYTGGTTGTCATCCCCAAAACTCAGAAATACGACCTGCGTGCCATTATCCAACTTGCTACGTATGAGTGACACAGTTGCTCCAACTGAGAAAGCTGAGAAAGATTCCGTGGGATTTGTCAAAATTTAATTTTCTAGTTTGATAACAGCAGTTAATATCTCCTTAATACAGTTAAGGTCTCCTTAAAGATTTTTTTTTTAATAGATTTACAACTATTTTATAGTGATTTGATCTAGAACCTCTTTTTAATCCTTGGCCTATGAAAATTGTATTGAGAACCATGTAACAATATTACTAAGGTAAAGATTCGGACATTTTTCTCTTCTTGTATAATTTGTCTCATCATGGAAGGCAGTTAGACTGATTTACTCTAATAAATTTGTCAATTCCTTTAATAGTATTATTTTTCTAGATATCTATGAACAGCATATTTTACCTTTGATCTACTTATAATGCACGCTCCTAATTTCTTGCACTTTTGAAAATCTAAAGAAATTCAAGAATAAGCATATCTCAAGGGTATAGTGAATACGACCAGACACAAATAGTTAATTTATTATGACAATTTACCAGGTTGTTTCTGTATAATTTATACAAATTAAAGTTTGAAAAAAGAGATTTTTCGAGATGAATTCAACTACTGCCTAGATAGGTCTTCAAAGGATTCTTCAGTCTGCCCACACTCCAACTGATGTTCAATGTGGAAAACAACTATCCTAAATACTCCCTGTTTCACACACCACCAAAGTCTGAAAATATAAGGAACAAAAAGATCCCACAAAAAACATGTAGCTTAACTGTGCTGTCTTCCTTCAGTTATTAGAGACAGAATATATCTCGTGAGTCAGCCACCTGAGCCTGGCCAAAAGGTTAATCTTGAAGTTTGCATAATGATTAGATTACTAAATAGAGGTTTGCAGGTTGCACAAGGCAAGATAAGCAAAATCAACTTATTTAGCTACAAATGCAGTCAAAAACATACAGCCAAAAAAGATCTCGGAGTATCTATGAAATTAAAAACTGAAGAGAAGGAACTAAAATCAGAGATGCTTGGCATCTACACAATTTGCATGTTCTGTACCTTGTCTGAAATCAGCTTTCTTAGGGATTTTCAAAACATAGCACCTTGGCAAAGGTAACGATGAAAACATTGGCCAAGGATATGGATCACTGCCCTAGAAACACAACCAGAAAAATTGAGTTAGGAGATGTATTAGCAGCAGTTGCTTGGTTAACACTGAAGTAAAATTCACTGAATTATTGCCTATGCACCGAAACTACGCTTGATACTAGTACTTAAGAAAAAATATTCCACAATACCAGTATTTAAGTTGATACTCCACAATTAAAGTTATAGGATATATAAATCCAAAAGAACTTCAACCAGAACCTGTGCTAGTAAACACCACTGACAGCTTTTAGTTCTTTTTTTCTTGACAAAAAGAAAAATTGCAGTTTTCAAAAGAAACAAACGAATATATACACACACACACACACACAAAAAAAAAAAACAAAACAGAACATTTCCATTTTTATACATTGTATACAAAGTATTTCCATTTTTATACATTGATCTCTCTGTCTTTGCTATGCTGACAGTAATTTGCATCTCATCTTCCTACGAGTGACAGTCCGTGAGAGGGAGAGCACTTAAAGGAACCGCTTAATGAACACTGTGTTGTTGGAGCAGCGATGACAGTTGCAAGTATTAGATACTGCAGATGAAAACACAGGCAGGGAGAAACAATCACATAAGAAGAAGATTTAACAGATGGAAAACTAATGAAGAAAACTCAGGAATATAAAAATATAAACATATACAAACCGCATTCATTTTCATAATGGCAGAAGCAGCATTTAAATACACTCATTTGAACATGTCATTTTCTAGGCAACAGCTGAACACCTGCTACAAGGAATAATACATTTTTTTTCTCCGCACATCTCTTCTTAGAAACTCTGGCAGGTCTTTATAAAACTAAAGGTAAGATGCATTTCTTAATGTTAAGTAATATGCTGAACTACCAACAAAATTTTTCACTTAATAAAGGCAGGCGTTAAGAAAAGAGAAATGTTTAAACTTTGTGCTCTGACCTTATCCAGGACTCTTAAAGGTAAAATCCTTTCCTGTGGTCCTCCAATAAGATTTATTCTAACAAGAATATGATTTCTCTCAATTGACAGACCATCAATTATAAAATCTCTGTTAGGAAAAAAAAATAAAAATAATCAGAACCGCTTTGATTTACCATCATTCATGCCAGAAWTCATTAAAGAACAAAAATAACCCTAGAGACACACCAGAGTTAAACCAAGACTTGGACAACACATAAACATGAAGAAATAAATAGAAATATGAACTACCCTGAGATGTGTGAAAATGCTGTCCTCATTTTTTGCTCCTCCTACCTACTACTCAACTGGAAACACTTAAGAAATTAGTGGTCATTAGTAGAAAATTTCAAAATTGTTGCCCCCTTGATCAGTCAGGGTAGAAGACAGTTCAATATCAGGTCAAATTTAGCTCCTGATTTGGTCAAGCAGCAAATTTCTGCTTCCTTGAAAACACAGAATTACTAAGAACTAAAGGCACACCCAAMATGTTTGAAATCACTGTGTAGTTCCAGCTACAAAAGTTTTTAAAAGGAATAAAATCCATGTTTTATACACCAAGTTTCTAAACCTCTGTTTATGGAATGGAGGTCAGCAGCAACAGGCATGTAACAACACTCTGCTTCTGTTGACTTTTGTCCCATAGTTTGATTTAAGCTCTGTACCTGTCCCATACAGTAAACAAAGGCAGTGGAAACTTCCTAATACTCAACAAGCTGAGGAACAGGAAATAAACTATCTTCAACTAAATAAACATCCATCACTGCTCCGCAAATAGATTTTTCCTCATACTTTTCCATTTGAAAAGATGTATCATGCAATTTTAGTTAAAAGTCAGCAATGAGAAGTCACAGAAGTTGGAGAGTTAAGTTATAAATACAGAAATCAGGGTTTTGATGATGCATTTAGCATGTTATACAGTATAATATTTAATAGTTTGAAAACCATATTTCACAACATTTAGAAGATAATTTTAGTGACAGCATTTGTATGAGTATAGTCAGCAAGGTACAAAGACTTTTTAAGGAAAAATGCTTTCATGTTGAAATAACATTTTTATCGGTCACATCTTACCCTTGTCCTTCAGAAGTTTCTATGACATTTTCCTCCTGAGCAGTTAGTAAAACTTGCGACACTTTATACTGAGTCTCTAACAGTAACAGGGTGTTGAGCTCAGAGCATAACACATTTAACAACCTGCAGAAGGACACATTGAAATGACGGAACTTCAGTCAGGAGTCCAGTAATGCAGAATAAAACAAAGGTGAACATGTTTACGATATCTCAAAATAGAAAGAAATTAGAAGCAAAAGCCTGAAGATATCCAGACCGAACCAAGTCGGGTGCAAGTTTTAATATCCTTTTTAGCTACTCAAGTGGCACAGCCCTAAGTAAACAGACAGAGGTTCCCAATGGATTTTTCCTGTGCACTGAACAAGCAGAGAAAACATTCACTGTTCAGCTCAGCCTGCTTTATGTTTGTACTGCAAAAAGAAGCRTGACACAGACTTAATAAGACATTCTGTGTGAAACGGAGAAATTACACAGCAATGGGCTGGTAAGGCAACTTAGAATCAAGTTATCCTTGGGGAAAATAAAATCAAGATAAAAATACGTATTTCCATTAGAGAGTATTTCTTTAAGCAGTTCCGTGTAATCTGATTTAACACAGATCAAAAGCAACAAAAGATTTAACATGCAACAAAAACAATGCATCTGTTTGGGAGTTTTTTTTCTTTTAAAGGTCAGAAATGAACAGCTGTGGTAAATTAAGTTAATAATCACAAGACCACACGACAGCACATGGCACATTAAATACAATTTTCTTTTATAACTTTAGGCCAAATTAGCAGTGATAGTGCTCTACTTCAATATATTTCATGAAAACATCAGCAAAGGCAATCCAAATTGTATTTTTTTTTAACACTATTCACTCTAATACAGCAACAGGATTTTCTCACTGGAAACCTCTTATTCATGGAAAATGGTATGACTAAATATTCTTGTTATTCTTATTTTCTATTTACCACAGCCATTAACCACATCATAAAAGAAGCCTTACCATTATATTTTCCTTCTACATAAGATTTTATTGGAACTAGGCATTATGTATAGTGTGAAACTTCTGGACTGTTAGTCAATGGTAGTTTTCTTCCACATAATTCTCAATATGCTTCTACAGTCAACAATAATTTGCAAGCCATTCTGGGGGTAATTTAATACTGCAAATTCACAAAATCATAGCCAAGGAATATACCAATAGCCAAGACCACTTTTTGTAAGTAACTTTGATCTGTTCAGCTTCAATCCTCTTCGAGATYGATTTTCTATTAGCTATTTCCTTACATTGGATCATTCCCAGTATTTCCTTAAGGCATAAAAGGAGAAATGATGGTTCAACTACAATAATTATTATTTCATAGAAGAAAGAAAAATACACACGCAGAGCATTGGAATCATTATGAAGATACACAATTCATTCTGCTAAATATGATAACTTTTAATGGTAAGGATCTGACTAAGGTTTCCAGCAGTGAAAACCACTTGTTTATAACATCTCCTCTGGTACAGAAGGCAGAAGAAAAAAAATAATCAAATCAAAATATAAACAGAGTTGGGTAAGAAGGGACAGTGGTAGGATAAATGACAAAATAGATGAGTTCCTAATGTAAGCAATCTCTGCTGTAATTTCTACTGAAATTTTCATCTACACTGAAAAATATAATTAAAAAAACAGTCCTTAAAGTACAGACATTAAAAGATAAAACTCTTCCTCTATCTTCCAAAATATTACAAGTATATACTAAAAGTAAAATAATAAATATAAATTAACACTTTATAGTCTGCCTATTTCTGAGTATGCCTGAATGCAGTTGCTGTTTTGTGTTGCTTTTTTTCCCTTGATGTTTGAGACCTAAGAATTGCAGCAGACCATAGTGGTCTCACTATCCTCTCTACATGGAGTACACACTTTGATGAAGAGGCTACAAAGACCGGGCAAATATATACTATAAAATTAAATTGTATTTCCACATTTAACAATGTTTCATTTGATAATTCTACCTTCTACTTTAAAAATAAATTCTAAAATACATTAAAAATTCCATCTTTTCAGCAAGATTCAAAACCAAATTAACTGATTTTCTTCAACTGTTCAAATATTATYTGCTTTGAACTTTGATCATATACAAAAAGCTCAAAGGAGAAAGGAGAAATTTGCTTCTGAAATACAAATGCACAAAGGAGATAAAAGTTCAGGGCAGGGAAGGGCTCAGACAGTACACTTCATAGAAATATAGAATCACAGAATGGACCTTTAGAGATCATCTAGTCCAACCCCCTGCACATGCAGGGTCACCTAGAGCATGGGGCACAGGGTGGCATCCAAGTGGGTTTGGAAGATCTCCAGAAAA